CATGTGTTGATGTATCCAATTAGCCTGGCTGAATATCTCGTTGGTCAACATGTATGCAGCTTCTTTGTACTTCATCTTAAATTCAAAGGTGGTAGATGCTGGTGCCACCCGGCCTCGCCGGGTGAGATACCATCGCAACGGCTTAGGCTGCGTGAAATTGATTTCGGGCTAATGTTTCGTTGCTGGGCCGCTGTTTTCGGTTTCAAGAGTGGAAATATAAGAAAAAACTGCTCGCATGATGGCGCTTCTAGGGTCAAGATACGCCGGAGGTAAAATAGCTCCCCAATCGGATATCCGGGTGTATCATCCTGCAGAAGTTATTCGAAAATCACTAACACATCTTAACATCAGTGCACAGTGAAATATCATGGTAACTGCAGTTGCTGAGAGGTCCATTAGCAACTTCAAAATTGATTTCTGCAACATCAGAGGACTCAACTCAGATATGAACTCAGTACACCAACATCTGCAAACAAATTGTACTCATATTTCAGCACTCACAGAAACCAAAGTCGGTGCTTCAACAAATCTCGTCAATTTTCTATATCCCGGCTATGATTTCCACTCCCGATTCAGACGTAACTTTGGAATATCTCTTTTCATAAGAAGCGATCTCTCCTGTCAACGAACGGAAATGCTGGAACCCTAAAACTTTGATGTTATGTGGTTCAAAGTAATATCACAGAAGATCACTAATGTCGTATGCTGCGTTTATCGACCACCAGCGATTCCAGTGCCGAAATTTCCATATTCGGTGACTTTAATGTCCGCAATATCGAACGACTCATCGCATCGCTTATTCAAGCGATGCGAACTTCACTTCACGGGAAGTGTTCAAGTGACTTCTGAGGGTTGTCTTTCGTAGGGGTGCGACGGCTGGTTAACGGAAAAACAGATTTTAAACAGATTTTTTTTAACAGACTTGGCATATTTGATTCCACCAAGAGTCGTTCATGTCAGAAATACGCGACGGACTGTGGCTGCACATCATTTTGAGGTCCAATTCAGTACACCTCGAACTTCACTGTTCAAGAACTCTTTCATTTGGAGAACTGTGTTCATGTGGAATAAACTTCTTGAGGACGTGTTTCCAAATGAATTTAATCTCTACCGATTCAAATCCAATGTGAATCACTACTTTCGCACAGGCACCGCTCTTAGAGCGCCTTGAGGATTTTCCTGTAGTGCTTGTGTTTTGTCAATAGAAAAATCAGTTTTTCTTCCTTTGGATGATTTCAGTTTAGAAATACTTGATGTTATATTGATGACTACAAACATACTATTCCCAATTTGCTGGTTTCTGCTCGCTGGGTGTTTTTCTTGGGCAATGCGGACTTTTAACAGCCTCCTGCTTACACTCATATAAAATTGTTCCACTCACATGGTATCTGGTAAATGTAATTCTTGGAGTTTGGTGGTTTGGCTTTTGTGAAGTTGCCGGATATGAAGCATATTCTATTATTGTTCTTAGATTCGATTCTTCTTGTCCTCTCCGGCAGTCTTCTGATGTAAGGAAGGGATAGCATTGGTTGTGACAGCCGCTATTTCCTGTGGGGATTTTGTCTTCTAGGCATTCGGTGTACAGATGTACAGTACAGATGTACACCGAATGACGTAAGCATCAAACTCTTAGAAAGGTTCGAAATAGATGAACACTTCAATCTAGCAGACCTCTATTATAATGTTCATGCAGTCATTGTTCACTGTGCTTTTGGCGTTGAATCTGGTCATTTACGCATTGGTCAAAGACGAAACGAACTGGTTTAACTTTGACGATAGTCGTGTCACCAAGTGTTCTGGCGTTGTCTTGAATTTATTGGAGCCTCTAGAGACACTCTTCATTTTATTTTATGAAAGAGAGGACATTGGCAGATCAAGATCTTCAGATGGTGGTTCGAAGATCAAAAATATTTGTACCTATTTTTACTAGTTATTGTATGTTAGATAGGATGATGATAATTTGTGAGGTACACCTCTAATGCCGTAACACTAAACTTAAGTAACAGAAGGTCATGTGAGACACAGTCGAACGCCTTGGACAACTCGGACATAGTGATAATTGCATGTTTCTTGATCTCAAAACCCTCAACAATGTCTCCAGTGATATTCAATAAAGCACTAATTGTTGATTTGTTCTTCTGAAAACCATTTTGGGTGTTTGATATAAACTTATTTTTTCGAAATAATCTGTCAACTTATCTTTCAATAATAACTCCACTATTTAAAAAAAATATTTGTGATTGAAATTGGTCCAAAGTTTCTTAGAATATTGGAATCATTTTATTTAAATATTGGTAAAACTCTTGATATTTTGAATTTGTCAGGAAAAACCCCTGAAGTGAAACACTAATTGATTGGGTGTGTTAAGGGTTTAAGTAGTTCCGATATCTCTTTGATGAGCACTGCATTCAATTCGAAGGCATCTACTGTAGTAGATTTTCTCAGTCGTTTGATTGCTGAGAGTACTTCAGTTGGTGTGGTTGAGGATAAAAAGAAACTGTGTTTATGTGATGGTAGGTAATTTTCTCAAGAGACCAGTAGAGACCAGTTAGGTAGAGTTTTGATAATGTTTTCTGCAACTGTACTGAAAAAAATCAATGAAGTCGTCAGGGTTATAATCGGAATAATCATTTTTATTGCCATTTTTACGGTATTAAAAATTTATAATTTTCCAGCTATTTTTAACCAGATTGGTAGATTTTGTGTGCAGGTTCTCATAGGCGACCCTTTTTGTATTTGTAATCGAATTTCTGTAGTCGGTTTTCAATTTTTTGTAAAATAACCAATATTTCGGATTGTTGGTATTATTGCAAATTATTTTAATAGATTATAGAATTTTTCGCTTTTCTTCCAATTTTTGTTGAACCATTTTACTGGTGGCCTATGTGGGGAACATGTTTTTAAAAGAAAACATTTCTGTACAATGAATTAATGGATGTAGCCGTTACTACGTGGTAGGAAATCATAATGAAGAAAAGAGAATTGAAACTCTATATGTTTTTTACCACTTTTATTTGTAACTAACGTTACTGCAGTTTCGTCCTATAAGGACATTTTCAAACTTAAACTTCAAACTTGAAGTTTCGCTAGTTATCAGTAATCAAGAATAATATAATCAATAATGATTTTTTACCAAATATTTTATTTACGGACGAAGCAAATTTTTCACGAGATGCTATTACGAACTTCCACAATGACCATTTTTGGGCATACGAGAATTCACACGTTGTTAGAGAAAGTCATATTCAGCAACAATTTTCCCTGAACGATTGGGTAGTAAGATTGGTGACAACCTATTTGGCCAATTTTTTTACCGGCAAGGTTAACAGGACTTGCGAGGTAATTTACCCATTTTGTTAGAAGAAGTGCAAGTACTTTAAAGAGGCAACATATGGTTGCACGACGGGGCTTCAGTTCATTTTAGTGTTCTTGCTCATCAGCATCTCGACATCACCTACCCTAATCGCTGTATTGGACGTGCAGGATCTCAAAATTGGCCTGCTCGCAGTTCTGATATGAATTTATATTTCTTGGGGTCATCTGAAGGCTCTTGTTCATAAAAATCCTGTACTAGATGTGATTGACTTGAGGAATCGAATAATGGACAATTGCAATGTCATGAGGAATACTCCAGATAATTTTAAATGTGTTTCACTTATTTACTTCAAGGTCGCAATTGTTTATTATTTACTTATGGTTTTTATTTTATGTTTTCCAGGAATAGTTTCCAATCAATTGCTCATCGGTTGTATTGAATAAAGTTGGCTAGATAACATATTTTATTAGAAACAGAAAGAGAGCTTCATTCAGATTCTAATATTCCTGTCCTTTTTTTAAATTTGTTTTCTCTTATAGAATTTCAAACGGTTATATTCATATATTTTTTTCTTTCAAATTGACCACGGTTATGATGATATTTAATAAATCAGAAATAAGGAAAGAGTATCGATATTGCTCTGATTAGGTCTAGACTTCAGTAATTTTTGTTATTGCTATTCATCAATTACTTGTCTAAATATACCGCCTACTTTATTTATCATCAAAGTTGATTTGTGGAAACTCTACTGATATATTATTTCATTCCCTCAAACCCCTCTAAGGACATAATTTCTGATATAATCAATCCGACCGCTCTGCGAAGGAAGTAGAATAACAATTTCACCTGTTGATCAAGCCAACTACCAATTTCAAATCCGTTTTTCTGATCTGGTGTAAGCGACTATCACGCTACCACATTCAAAAAAAAAACTAATTCTTTTGGCTGAACGATTCTAGATATAGGGGGTGTGTATATTTTTGTGGGGATATAACTATTATTATATTTAGGACATAACGGGATCGCCTTCAGACGGTGGGTTAGTACATCCTGGCGTTTGTCGAAGAACTGGATGTAAGATTCATTCTTCCGAATCCAACAATTAGCGGAACCGCTAAGCGACAGTCTTATTATACGTTTATCTGTATTACCGAATATGCATAAACTTAAGCGGCTTTAAATTGTCTGATTGACTAACCCACTTGATGAATTAATTAAGATAGGTAAAAATTACTCTGGTCAACACTGAATTATTATGCACTAAAAATTTAATATTTTTTTCATATTTTGCTCTTAATACGACCACTCGGTCGTATGAACTCTCAAAAATTACCATATTTTGATGAGATTATAGTTAATGTAACTCTACCCAAAATTTCAAGAAACTTCATGTATTATTTTCCGAGATATATCGGTTTGAAAAATTGGTGATTCACTGTCGACCACCTTACCCTACATAGGTTCAATAACCATACAGAAAAAAGAACCAAATTTTTATATGTAGGTATTTTTACCACTGAAAACTTTAAATGAATGTGAAGAAAAAAAAGAACTATAATAAAAACTCCATATATAGTCATGACTATGTCTACAGTCAAACAGCTGTCTATCAGTTGGATTGTAGACTGTCATAAATAAATTATTTTCATTTTGGCCAGGTTTTTATACTGGCTACTGAAACAAAGTTTACAATTAATCTTTTAATAAACAAAATATTTTATATCAAGTCTTATATCTACTCATAAATAATATATCTATAAAATAACACGTATGTATACATAACATTCAGTTGCCCGATTGAATAATCTATTCAAAAAATAAAATATTCTGATATGACTCACTCAATATATTGGTTACAATATATTGATTGTTTTTAGAATGAATTCCATAAAATCAGTGACAAAAATTTCTAACCACTAACCTCTTCACTCTTGAAAGTTAAAATCCCCAATTTTGAAAATCCGAATATCCCTAACCCGCTCAATTATAGATAGGTACCATTTTCCCTGATGATGCAATATTTTGTTTGAATTGTATTTCGTTTTGAGTGGTACCGTCATAGATGGTATGGATTATAGTATTGTTTTCTAGTACAGAATAATCTCAAACATCTTATCACAGAAGTTGTTGGTGGCTTCTATCAGAAATAACCCTCAATTCGAATAAACTTAATCAAATATTTCAATATTGGTGGATTGGTAAACGAAAACCTTTAAAATGACTAGCAAGATCATCAGAATCAACACTGTTGGTGTTGAAGGTCATTATAATAGACCGTAAAATGGTGTGGGATATATTTAGAAAGTGCAACCAGCAAATGTTTTAACATGAATATATGAATAGCAACTTCAAAATAAAAATTACCGTTTACGATCGTCAACAATTACGCATTGTCTTAGTTTTCTTTTACTAGTTTGATAACAAATTGACAATTCTATCACAACTTGTAATAGAATTTGGTGAAGTTTTATGTCATTGACTCTCATTATTACCTGCCAGTTAATGTTTTTTAGCTTAGCGATAAGTTCATCATCTACAGAACCTTTTTCGTCTTTGAGGGAGATCATTTCTACATCGTGTTTTATATCTCGACTAAATTAAATAATTTTCCCATAATATTTTATGATCAGTATTCATCTCTCAAATTTGGCTCAATGTTCGAATCATTTGTAGGTGTATCTTTTATGAAGTTTATATAATCCAATGGAATTTTTGATTCTACAGCTCCTCTAACCATGGTATTCAAATAAGCTGGTGATGGTTTCAGTTCTGGCATATATTCTAGGGTGTCTTCACTTTCACATCTAACTTGCCGATAGGTCAAGCACTCTACTAATTTTCCTTCAGGGGTTTCCACAGTCACGGTGATGGGTTCGTAAATATTGACGTGAACACCTTCCTGCCTACCTCGAAAATAAAAGTTAATTAGACGAGTATTTAAAAAAATATCAACAAATGCAAATAATAGCTCTTTGTTTATTACGGCAAAAAAGCCACCTGTGAATAATACTTTTTGTTATTCCTTTCCTTGGAAGTTTATAATACACCCTATATCAAACACGAACCGTTATTGAGATATTCATTTGTTTACCTACTCAAAAAAACTAGGTATTGGCTTTCAAGTAATTCCCCCATTAAATTCAAAAGTTTGATAGAATACATAAATTCATAAATAATTTCTAGGTAAATGAACTGTAATATATAAACGACACTTTATTTTTCCCATTAATGGAATCTCTAAGATTCGAATTTTGATAGTACTGTATAAGAAGTTATCAGTTACCAGAAGATACCGTTTCAGATTTTTAAAGAAATATTTTTTAAAGTAGAAGAAAGAGTCCTGCATCATAAAAACTGAAATTCTGTAGATTGAAGTGGAGTATGAAAAGTTTTTTTTACTTTATCGTCCATGAGAGTTCCTTCAATCTCCATCGAAAATTGGGAATAATATGAAAGAGTGGATTTTCGGTATTTAGACATAAATGAAACGAGTATTTCGGACAAAACAATAAAACTTTTCTCTAGCTATCCACTCAAAAATCAGATATATTTTCCAGAACATCGTTATGAACAGATGCAGATGAAGCTTTTTTCTTATCAAAATAATTCATACTGTCAGATTCATCAGATGATTTGTATTTCTACTCGATTGTTCCACCTGGTGTCTCCCATTGTTACGGTTCAGATATATTGACTTTGTTTTGGGCAGAGATTGTAAATAGTGCAGTAAATATATTACTTTAATCCCTGTCGAGTACATGTTGCCCGCAGTGGGGGGCATTAGAATATCATATGTCCCAGCAGATGGAGGCTATGAAGTGCATCCAGTAAGTAATTCATCGCCTTCTCAAAAACCGGAAACTGCATCAGGAAAAGAAGTAAAATCCACTTGAGCAGATTAGAAAACACTTACACTTAAATGACGATTCAGCCCAACTAGAGGCAAAAAGCCCTGCATGACTGAATCTAATTATCATCAGATATAACTGGCTCACGAATGCTCTCAATTGAAAATGTTGCTGTGACAACCTTGAAGTTGATTTTTCTTCACGATGAAATTCATTTTCTGGTAGCTTGCCCCGTTATGCACCGGAACAGGTTTTGCGTTTGGCAGATTCTCACTCTTGCTCTGATCTGAAAGATCGGTTCATGTTTTTTCTATAATTTTGGGCCCATCTGACTTGTTCATTTCTCACAAATCTCCAGAAAACATTACACCCTCATTGCGTTTGTCTCCTACCTTTCTCATGATACTCATTCCTAGGATCTTGTGTCCTGTATTAGTTTCTACAAGTGAACCGGTGAAGCGGAAAGGAGAAAGAGAAGATATGTAAAAGTACTGGAATTACCCTCAAAGTGTCATCTATCGGAGGAATTGGTCCAGTCATCACCCAAAGAAGGTTGTGAATCTAACAAACGAAACGTCTTAAAGTAACTTAAAGTAATTTTCTATTTTTATTTTGTATAATCGTTCTATTTTTTACTTTATTCATTTCACTGTAATTTCATTTCAGGGTTTTTTTTTGCCTAATATAATTGTCATCTTCAGTTTTTAATTTTTCATTTGTATTGGTTCTTTTAGGGATTTCAAATCATTTTATTTAATATTAGACAGCGGAAGTCCGAACCGATGAAATTCATCATGAAACATTGTCAATCACCTTCAAACAAATATTTTTTATTTTTACTCCGATTGGATGGTCTGACATGAACGAATTTACCGTATCATTTGGGGCAACTCTGAAGCTCAGTTTCTTTAATTTCTCGACTAAGATTAAGAGTTTGAGGTAGGAGCTCGAAAAAAAAATCACCACTACCATTGTCTAATTTTTCACGCATATGTTCGCCATAAACAGTGTACATGCCATATCGATCAAAAAACCTTTTTGAAATCCGTGGATAGAACTGAGTTATTTCATTATTCATCAAAAAAATAATTATTATTTTGATGTTTGAAAAAAGACTCATGTCATCGATTGATTTTTGAAACAATATTGAACACCACAAAGAAGTTGAAAGGAACGAACATATCTATATCGCTTGATCTGACAGTTAAGCAACGGCCCTGACCCATACTCCAGCCGATTCATCAAATAAATACATGAGTCACCGTGAAGAATGCAGTCTGAAATCGCCGGGAAATTCTAGGCAAGTACCGAACGACTATAGAACGTTACCGGCTACTCGTCCAGAGAGGGAGTTGAATTCAGAAAGTGAATCGAGAGGTTAAACAAGGAATTCAAATAGTGGAAATAAATTAATATTTAATTGCTAAGTGTTGAATATAAATTAGTTTGTGATAGTGAAATATTGTTAGAAATAAATTTGTTTAAGACAGTTAATTCTTTAATTCGTTACAATATTATGATACTTTTCTAAGAAAGTTATTTTTTGACTATTGTTTCCTGAATCTGAAATTTGAACATTGTCAAATGAAAAGCCATGATCTAAGTCACTAATGTGTTTAGAAAGGGTGCAGGATGGTTTACTGCATTTTATGTCTCTTGTGTGGAAATGATTCAGTCTTTTAATGTTCTACTCGTTTGTCCCATATAAATATAGAACAAGGGATGGAATAAACCACATTGGAAAAGTTAATGATATCTTCTTTGTCTTTTGAATTGAAAAAAGTTTTTCAATAGTCTTCAGATTTCTGAAAGCTGATTTCACATGTTCAAATTGACTAAACATTTTTTTGAGATTATGTAAAAGACTACCTAGATGAAGTAACAAAAAATAAAATGTCATTTGAGGAACATTGTGTTAATGGAAGATCTGTTGGAGATCTTCTGTGTTGTTGTCTCGGAAGTTCGTCTGTTGCAATGTTCTTTATTTTTTTCAATATGTATCCGAAATGATGGTTTTAAAAATAGTATTATTATCAACACGAAGAACTACTTTTCGGTGAGTAATTCAATTAAGAATTCATTATTCCTTATAGAATTGAAACGATAATGTGGGAGATATTTTTATGAAAAGTCATTGTTACAGAGCCCCGGAGAAGAATTTAATTGAATTCGAAATTGAATAAAGAGCTTTCTTTGTGAAGAATACTTTGAGTGCACTAGAAAGTTTGCCCTTTGTATAAAGGCATAGACATTTCCATAACAATTCTTATTTTTTCGGATTATTGAAGGTGAAAATCTCCAGAAATATCGATAAAAAAGGCTTATTGTTATAATCAAACGGTAGTTTGTGACTATCATTTTGTAAATGGTGCTTTTGCTCAGTTTCAAGAAGATGGGATATTTCACTTCCTTGGCTACAACTTGTCATGGGTGAATAATAATGGTATTAATATCATTATTTCACTTGTGATTTACTGATCGTTCTTGATCAAAAAGTGTTTGACTATATTGGGAGTTTGCTCTGGTACATGCATCATGTTTGCTGACGACACTGCTCTTTTAATATCGAGAAAAAATGATATTTATTGAGAGAAAGTTGCAATACTGCTCTTGGTGTAGCGCTCCATTTCAATCCCGAGAAAACTCTATCGATACGCTTTTACCACAGAAAGCAATGAATTCATATATTTATACGTTCTCAGGATTCACTCTCGATGAATGCATGAGTTGGAAATATTATTATACTAAACTACAATTTCATGCAATTTCATATCTACGCATATCACGAAATTTCATATCTATATTGCGGAATCTAAGAACAGTACAGATCATTCAATGAACTGTTGTCATGCACACATTGAATCAAGAAAAAGAAAAGATATATGTTTTTGAGTATGTCTACGCTTGCCTTGAATGTATTTATTGCCTAGGAAAAAATTCTAAAGATTTCAGCACATGTGGATTAACGAACATCAGGCAGATAACTTTTTGAATATTATGAAATTCCAACTCTGAATAGATCAATTTTATTACAATTGTTTCAATCACAATTTCAATATTACAAATTATAAAGATTTCCTAATGAAGTCTTCCCGACCGAGTCCGAAATTTTACAATAAACTGCCTAGTGAAATTAAAGAAAAGTCATCACGATTTCAAATATAGAATGAAAAGTTTCCTTTTGGAAAACAATTTTATAGAATAGAGGAATTTTTAGAAATGAGATATTCGTTTATTCATTTTGTTATTTATTTTATAGTCATTTATTTTTGTTGTTAGTATTCCAACTATTTCACATAATTCATGAATTGTGTTTTTCTCTTCTCATTTCATAATTCGCTATTCCTATACATATCTTTGTCTTGAATAGAAAAAAATGCTATTATTATTCAATACGCAACAAATTAGAGCTTCAAATCAAGTAGATATCTAAAATCTTGTTCATAAGTCAAATTTGTATGCATATTTACTTTTTTTTCATTTTTCAGTAAGTGATAAATTAAAAACAAGTGATTGCTAAATTATTAACTATATTCAACTATATTTTGACTTTCTACAAATATGTAAGCAAAATGTTTCAGGTTCAATAAAGCCCACAAACAGCAACATTTTTTGAAAATTTAGTATTTGCATTTTATAAATGATTTACCTTCATGGTACAATTTTACAATGCACTAGGACTAAATTTATTTTTCAAATTGCAATTTACTTGTGTATGTAGATTGGTTACGAACCGAAGTCGAAATTTATTGGTTAACCTACTGGAAAATATGACAATTCAATTCAAATTAAAAATGTAGAAAAAATCAAACATCACGATACATATACATACCAGTCTAAATTTTTCAAGTCTTCATCTTTGAGTTCCCATATTACTCCCCAGACGTGGCTACCCTTTTTTGGAACTATAGTTCCTGCGCATCCTTTCCATATTTTAGAATATACAAGAAAGTCTACTACATAATCCTGCGGAAACAACGATGTATAACATGTTCATTAGTTCAGTATCAATACTTACGTTCAATTTTCCTATTCCACATCTGATTGCATTGGGATTCCAAACATGCATTCTTGCAGTGGATAAATTACTTCCGTATGCAAAATACAAAGTTTTTCCAGTCATTTTTACATCTAGTATAACTTAATCAAAGAAGCTACTGAATGGTTGTTAAAAGGTTGAAATCAAAATCTGTATTACCGAATATGCATAAACTTAAGCGGCTTTAAATTGTCTGATTGACTAACCCACTTGATGAATTAATTAAGATAGGTAAAAATTACTGTTAATCTCAAATAATCAGTTAGATACAATAATGCTGAGTAACAAGTAAACTTGAAATCATTTTTATAAATACCTTGATATATATCGCAAAATTCTACAATCGACCTTACAATTTCATCATGTTGTTTCAGAGTTCGTAAACTGATCAAGACCAATACAAAAAAGAAGACCGCGGTTTCTTTGCATTGCACAAGTACTACCAAAAATTTTTAAAAGACTTCTTATGTATCTTGTGATGCACTGTTTGGAACCTTTGGTGTAATAATTAATATTACTGGTGTTTTAATCCCAACACCAAACCGTTATTTCAATACCTCGACAAATGTTTCGATCACCAAGTGATCATCTTCAAGAGGAAGATTGAACTAAATATACATACATACATATTCTTATTTATACCATAGATATCTCTGATATAATGATATTATTATGATATTGTAAGGAAGATGATATTGTAAGGAAGAGAAAGTTTAGGTTAAGAATCAACGAAATCTTGACTTTTAGAAACGACGAAAACCAAGATAAATATATCTCAGTTTCATACCACCAATACACGATGAACTTTGGAAAGATTTTCAAGGAACTAGGTATGAAGGTGGTTTCAAAAGCAAATCATTCACTACAGAGCCTTTTAGGAAATCCAAAGGGCAAAGTCGAGAACTCGTAAAAGTCTGGAATTTACGAAATTAAATGTGAGGACTGCGATGCAAAATATTATGGACAGACTAAAAGATCTATTAAAATAAGATATAAGGAACACTTAGCACATCTAACATATGGAAGAGCAGAAAAATCAGCATATTTTGCAACAAAAACCATTCCATAGAATTTAGTCCATTAGGATTAGTTAGACAAGTTAACAACAAACATCTAGATGCTAACGAGAGTGTAGAAATAAGTGAAATAAGTAAGAATAACGATAGTGGACAAATACTTAATAGTATACTATCTAGTTTGCTGAAATAATATTTTGATTATCAGAACTACCTGACTATTACATAAAGCCACATTGTAAAATTTATTCAAGACTGATAAATATGGCAACATTGTAAAATTAATTTAGGACAATTAAGATGCAGGTAAATAAGAATAACATTGTAAGTATATTTAGTAGACTATAGTCCGTTCATAATTTGTCGATAGCACAAAATGAGGGCCCAANTTTTCCTTAATGAAGGAAAATTTTGTTTTTTAATAAAACTTTCGATCGAGTTTTTCGATAACTAATGAACCAATTTTGAAAATTGTCACAGAGGGACAAAATATCTTTCAAAAGATGTACCACTCACCCCCATGTCACAAACAAATATTGGAGGCCCTCGAAATAAAAATTGTACTTTTCTGAGCTTCAAGTGTGAGGGGGGAATTTTCGTTGAAACATCGTTTAATAAAAATTAGTTGAAGTGTTAGGTATCTAATCTAGTTACTGCAATCTTCGCGATTATGAGATATCATATAATTTTTAGCGAAGCAATTCATTATTTTCATTACATCAGAATTGCACACGTACTTGAACTTGGAAAAAATATTTCATAGATTTGATGACAATCAAATGGTAAAAAGAAACTCAATCTTAGATAATATTTTTCAGTCAAAATCATAAATGTCTCAGATGATTTGTGGATTGGGAGAACAGGTAATTTTTATTTCGACTAATATCTTTACTGATATAGTATTTGCATACAAACGTCACAACTACTATATAGACAGTTTACCACATGAAAGACATCATCAGGAGTGTTAGAGATCAGGTAGAAAATTTAGGCAGAATAATTGTCACCAATTATTCAGAAAGACAAAAGAAACAATGACACTCAATCTGTATGTGGCATAAGCATAACATTCCATAAAGGAGCAGAACAGAAGAAATAAACAACAATATGGAATGTATGAAATAAACATGAATTGAGCCACTGAGAATTGGATTTCGCCCATCTCCTAAAACAGGAATCGCCAAATAGCCCGCAGTTTCTGTAATCTGAGAGCTAAGAATGGAATATTGAGAATATCACCAAGTTGACTGTTCTTCAAGAAGATTTAGATTACTGTTTTTATTTCAGTTAGGTTCCGAATTGTTCAGAATTTCATACATCAGTAGAAAAAGTAGCACAACAAATAATAATAAACGCCTTCAATACTTCAGAAATTACAGGTAAGTGCATAAGATGATCAGTTTCTGCAGTAATTGATGAATCAATAGTGAAATTGGTTGCGCAATTGCGCTACTTTTTCTTCATTTTACTATTGCGATACCATTTCAAAAATGGAACCCAGTTCATCCCCAATTATATCTTCCAAGTTTATCAGGAGGATTTGAAGAATGGACTGACTGTGAATTTATAGGGAACATTATAATTTATCATTATTATATTTATATCATTTCACACCAGTATTAAGTTTTCAAAAAATACACTTCGATGTGAGATTTCCACTTGAAAGTTTACAAAACCGATTGTGCGGTTCCGAAACTTTCCAATGGAAATCTCACATTGTGAAGAAAAGAGAATTGAAACTTTTGATTTTTGATCCACTGCTTTATTCACTCTAGGTATAACAAGATCGTCTGATATTAAGGCCCTTCCTTGTATTACAAGAATGACTCAGTTTATGGTATATTGTTTTCGTTAAAGAATGAAAAGTATAGTCTATTCATGAAGTAACTGCCTGATGTGTGTCACAGTTCGATTTGTAGGCATAACCATGTAGAAAGCAAGGGATGTGGCAATGGTCTTTCAGTAGGGTGTAAACTATTTGTGAACAGATCCTACGTGCGGTGAGATATATAAGTTTATTATTAAATTGATAGATGTAGCCGTTAGTTACTACATGGTAGGAGATCATCATGAAAAATGAGAAATAAAACTTCCTATGTTCCGACATACTTACTGTGTAGGTAGTTGGGAGAAACATTTATTTTCTTATGCTTCCTATGTTTTATACCACTTGTATTTGTAAGAGATACAGACGTTCCTTAGCCTAACTCAGTACCTGAATTTTGTTTACCTGTGACAATCTGAAAATCGGCGAGTAGACTATGTCGATTTGGTCATTTAGTAGGTTACATCCGTAATGCGTATGCTAATATTTCCAAGGATATCAAATATTTGAGTTTCCAACCCTTGTATGCATATTGCAAAATTTCCGTATCGTTCAGATTCGGGAACTTGTGATTGCATTCCAAAGAATGGTTTGAGAATGTCGAATCTTCTTTACCTGGTCTGATGGAGTTTCTATGTTTGGTACGCTATGTTATTTTTTTTCAGAAACCATATTTTCTTTGAGAGTTACCCTTCGATCATCAAAATTATCGTTTCAATACGTTTAGTAGAGAATTCACATGTATGTTTTGGTTTGTGACGTGTCAACTGAAACAGTTTCAGTTGATACGTCAAGAAGACGACTTCGACCACGCCACTGAAGATGACTGCCGCAGTTGCAGTTTGGAAATCAAAACAAAGAAGACCACGACAAAACCCACAAAAACATTGGCGCCAGCCTCAATAGCGAGAATTCCTATATAATTCAGTAGGAGATTTGAGCCGGTTCTAAGCCTCCCCCCACCACTATGACGTATTAATTGCTTTTTTTTGTTGTCTAGTGAAGCCATGATGATGTGACCTTGAAGTGTCTGGTGCATGGATCGTTCAGAATTTTTCTCCGGTTCTAAGTCTCCCCTCACCACTATGACGTATTAATTGCTTTTTTTTTCGTTGTTCAGTGAAGTCAAGGCGATGTGACCTTGAAGTTTCTGGTTCATGGATCGTTCAGATTTTTTTTCATTGAAGATTTTGTGTGTGTGTGTGTGTGTGTGTGTGTGAGAAAAAGCACTGTACAGGGTTTCATGATGTGCTTGTCTATGTACAAACATACGTCTGCATACTTCGAAGATCCTCCGAGTAATGAATGTTCCATCGGTGTGAGGCCACCAAGTTAGTAGTGGTGTGACGTCACAGCAGCAGCAACCGTTCAATGGTAAGAGAGCAAGATGTTCACTCCACGACGTCTGGCTGAGTAATGCGTATTCATCGGTGTGCCCTCACCTCTCTCGAAGTGAAGAAGGCTGTGACGTAACGCATCGCTCTAGCCTCGCTATCGATGGTGATACGCAGG